TCACAAGCGCTCTGATTATTTTCGGAAGGTTAATCACCATCATGGTATAGATACAAAAAAGTAATCAACATTTGGTCTATGAAGCATTTTAATAAATATCCAGAAAAAAGTGTATGAAAGACCTATGGTTTTTCCCTCATTCAGCCCTACTCTTTCAAAGTTTGAATGTAAATGTGAAAAAAGTTGACAAATACTACTTCAGGCTGTCCAAAAGCTAGCTTTTCTTGTGAAGTATGAAAAATCCAAGTCAAAAACATTTTTTCCCTATTGCCAAAAGTCATGTCATCAGGTGGTCAGTAGTAAATTGCCAAATGCAGCTACCACATATTACAATTTTTGTGCAAACTGTGAATTGAAAATCTTAGTAAGGCTGATAATGATTTCTCAACAAACACAATCTAGCAACCTATGTGATGAATCAGTCCAGCATCTTTTTTTGTTCTGTCAAGTTTCGTGGGAGCTGTGGAATAAACTGATTTGTTATTGGGGTATTAGTCTTGCTTTTCCACTTGACCCTCCATCCTTACTTAGTTCTTGGTCTGATTTGAGGCCTACTTCGGTTATCTGGAAGTTTATTCCGGGTGTAGTGTTATGGTCAATTTGGAGAATTAGAAATGAAATTGTCTTTGATAATGGCAATTTGGATAGATTGTCACTATTTTCATTGTTCGGTTAAGGCTAGCAAGATGGTTTCTAGCAAAATATCCTCTTTCCTCTATTAAGGTGGATTCTCTAATTGGTGATCCTTCCTTGGCAGATAATATCTCTGTTTCTAAGGAACTACTCAGACTTGTGTGCTGGTGGATTCCTCCCCCAGTAGTTTTTTTTTAAGTTGAATGTGGATGGGGCTTTTAGTAGAGTTGGGAGAGTTGCTGGAATAGGTGGTCTTCTCAGGGATTGGAATCGGGTTACATTGATCTCTTTTTCAGAAAATGTTGGTCCTTCTCATCCCTATTTAGCATAACTGAAAGCTATAAAAAGAGGTACTGATATCTTTGTTTCTTCAGAATGGCTGTTGAAGGGCAGACTCATTATTGAAAGTGATTGCAAGCTTGTAGTGGATTGGATCAAAGACCAAGCTTTGGTTCCTCCTTTCCTTTCAAATTTTGTTAATGAAATTGTATCTATTGTTTCTTTTAGAAATTTTATTGTTAGGTGGATTCCAAGGTCTTGTAATTGCGAAGCTGACAAGCTAGCAAAAGAGGGAATCGGGTGACGATTTTGTTTGTTTCAGTTGGTGTTTGTTTCTGAGTTAAGAAGCTAGAGGAGTGTGTGAGGTCTTATATTGTATGTAAAAGTGTTTTTAAGTCTTATGTAACTTGGCTATCATTAATAAATTGAGGTACTTTTTTCCTCCTTCCGCTAGTTGAGTCTTACCTTACGGGTAAGGTCCACTAAGAGGGAGGTTTTTAATGAGACCTCCTATTCCTATAAAAAAAAAACAAACACAATCTAGCATTAACATATAATGATGCCAAACTGAATCCAAATTGATGTGTGAAGTTAGGAATGCATTTATGGGATAAAACCATTGAAACAAATGGCCATTTAGAGCTAACCTTTTGCCTGACCCAACTATGTCTTTTTCCAGCCATACGAGGACAAAGTAACACATGCACTGAAGAGTGTTTGAAAAAACTACGTGTTTCCTCATCGTGGGTTGCCATTATTCCATCCTGTATTTGCCAATTTGAAGAGGTTAATTAACATATACGATGAGCAAAACTTTTTCAAGGTTAAAAGGGTATTAATTCCTATCTTCATAAAGTTCGCAAACACTCCTTGTCATCATTCATATGCACATTTCATTTTCTCCATTAACCAAATACGCACAATGATCATCATATACTTCTATTGTCATTAGGTTTAAACACTGAAGCTATAATGTACAGGAAATAACGTAATAATAAGTTACCGTTTTGTATCCTAAGATGCTTCTCGAAGTAGGATCATCCCATAGCATAAGTAGCACCCTAACTCCTTCCTGGGACTTTGACCTAAGAAGATCCCCCAAAGTGCAAGCTGAAGCAGGAGCACCATCACGTATCAGCCTAACTTTATGCCAAACTGACCACCCTGCAATGTAAATCAAGCGCCTAGCTTGACGGATAGCATCAAATATGTCACTCCAGCACTTTCCGTGCACATAGGTCATCCCCTGGTCAAGTTTTATGGTTGGAAGAATCCCATCAGGGACGTTGGCATCTTGATAAAGTGTCACTTTTACTCCCTTCCGAAGAGGAAAATATGTGCCAGGAACTCCCACATAATCAGGACCTGCTCCAACTCCATGACGATAGATGCTCAAATTCTCCATTGGTGTGTACTGAATTGATAATCTTAAGACAGCCCCAGGCTTACAGGGCTTTCCCTTATCATTCAGAATTGGGTAGCTTCCCTCAATCTTTTGCCCTGAGTATATCTGCTCAACTGGAATAGCTACGACTCCTATGATCTGTGACCCCAATACATCACTGTCTTTAACAAAAAATTGCACTTCGGCAGCCTGATGTGCAACAGGAACACAGAAATGTTGCATCCAGAAAGGGTTTTCACTATTGCTGATCACATATGTCCTTCCTATAACGGCACCAGTAATTGCAATTGTGACGTAAGGATCACTTGTAATCTTCACTTCCCCTTTTCCTCCAACTTTTTTGGAGATATTTGCAGAAAGATTCCCAAAAATATCTCCTATAGTCCTATGGAACATATCCATGTTGGGAAGATTTTTTGCCTCGAAAACCCATATATCTAAATCTCCATGAAGAAGCAAAACTCTCAGTGAACCTTTATGGAAAGGTACAATCTGCATACTCTGACCATTTTGTGAATCCTTACGGGGAAAGGCAGGTTGATTAGCCGAATCAGCTCGGCCTAAATCAGGCCCCTCCCAATTACTAGCATTACTTGAATAAACTAGACTATCTTGCTCAGGTGTTGAAGTGGCAGTAGTCACTGGAAGCACTGAAGGTGCCGGGGGTGATGCAGGAGCAGATGGATATGCACCAGAAAAATGCATATTACTCAATTGATGGTCCAAACGTGGATAAGCAACAGGTAGCGCACTACCCGTACTTGCTCCTAAGGAACTCAGACCGTCCTGCCTGTTATGTCCAGAGAAACTATTCTGTCTGGAGTGGAGCTCAGAATTAGGAGGATATTGCACAGGTTGTTGATAAGAGTTGGATCCAGACAAATGCATATTACTCAATTGATGGTCCAAAGACGGATAAGCAATAGGCAGGGCACTACCTGTACTTGCTCCTAAGTAACTCATACTATCCTGCCTGTAATGTCCAGAGAAGCTATTCTGTCTGGAGTGGGGCTCAGAATTACTTTCAGGAGGAGGATACTGCGCAGGTTGTCGATAAGAATTGTATGATTGCATATTACTTTCAGGTGGTGGTGGGTAATGACCAGATAGGGATTGGTTGTACGGGTAATGAGTTGAACCATAAATGTAACCAGTAGGTTGGGAAGGAGTTAGAGGAACCGGGTGTGCATATTGATAGGGAATTAGTCCAGGATGAGAATGAGAATGCCCATAGTCCATGGGAGCCGAACCAGGAGCGTGGCCTGGGGAAGGATACACATGAGGCGCATGAGGGTATTGGGGATTGAAAGGATATGGATATGGCGGATGTGCATATGGATCTTGATTTGGAGGAGGGTATCCATGGGGATAAGGGTGTGGATTATTATCCATTTCTCACAAAATTGCTCTTAATATCAAATTACTCTTTCTTTTATGATGGAAACAAAATCAAGTGAATTGCAGAAAAAATAACGAAACTTTGATCTTCATACATACAACAAAATCTGCACACACAAAAAAACACACAAATTCAGCTGTGTTTCTTAGTTTCAAACTTTCAATGGAGACTTCTAACAGTAATACTGCAAATAGAATTGAAAAGAGCAAACACCCAAGGATCCAATTGAACAAAGAACATAGAAAAGAAAAGAATATTATAAAAAAAGAAGCGAATTAACTCAGATTCCGAGTGAAAAGAAGCTTACCTACAGGGATGTTTTTTTTAAAAAAAAAATCACTGAAGAAGATGAATGATCCAGGAAAGAGAGATAGTGTATTCGGAGAAAAAGGTGTTGAAAGAAGTGATTTGGGTAAGAAATTACCTCTTTTGGAGTTGACAAAGCGCGTATCGATCAAGAAACCAAACATTGACAGATTCCCATTTTTATCTGCACGAAAATGCGTAGACTGGAAGGTTGTTCAACTGTTACTCGAACCCTCGTGGCAAGCAATTACTGCTGCTTTATTTTATAGAATCTGAAACATTGAGGAAGATCATCAGACCGGCTCTTATTCGCATAAATAAAAGAGTCCAAAATATTTTATTTAAATATTTAAAGTATATTTTTATTCAAAATATCTAAATATTGTTTTTCAGTTTACCTTGTTTTTCATTAAATTTTATTATATTAATTTTTTTTTATTTTTAATTGACTTACCATTTCTATTAAATTTTAGTTATATAAACATCAGATAATATTATGATCATCTTTCTTCATAATCTATCATCGCAAACTTCAAAATTTTTATATCACTTGTTAAAGTTTTCTAATTTATATTTAGCCTTTCTTTCACACGAATCTTTAAGAGAATTCAATTCATCGATCACTGTTTTTATGTTCTACAATCCACTTCAACTCGTATATAAGAGGAGTCAAAATTCTAGAATCATATCACATAAGTTTATAGGTAACAACAAATTATTATTTACATCGTTCACAAATGATTTTTCGTCAAAAGTAAAAAAGAATAGGGCAAAGTATATAAATGGTGGCCGATTATAGAATATTATTTTATTGAGTCTTCAGACTATTAAATGTTACAAAATAATCCCTCAACTATAAGATATTGTTTTGTTGAATCATTCATCTACTTCATATCTTGAGATTCGCTAGGAATAAAGAAGCATGTATGGTGAACTTATGCATTCATGTGTATATTTATAGATATGATAATCGTTACCCTATTTGCAAAACAGGTTCATGATCACAATGGGAAGGATGGGTAAAGATGCTGTTTTCAGCTGCCCCGAACTCCATAAACCTTGGATTGTTTTGAGGTTCTGTCCTGCTTCGAGCTGAAACCCCAAAACACACAGAGAACATTAGCTCTTATTCATAGAATCAAATACTAACATGAATGTTTGCTCATCAAGTTTTAACCTTAATTTTCAGCTGTTTATTAATGTCCCCAAGCTCACGCTCCTGCCAAACCATGAAAAAGCAGCTGTTAGCTAGGCATGACAAAGCTTTAGCAACCAAATTCTGCAATTACATTTGGGAATAATATATTACGACTGGAATAAGTACCTTTTTGCTGAGGTCTTCCATTTGTTCTATCATGATCTGTGTCTGCAGTGAAGATCATCAAGAAATTTCTTCACATTTCAAATATGTATTAGTAGGACTTGTTGACCAAGATGTGCCAGTAACTTCCTTTGTCTAGCCAGTGCAAGAGCGCCTTCAAGCTGTTTCTCAAGGTTCTGCAGCTCTTTAACATTCAATGGTCCAAGATCTTCTCCTAGCAAATGCCTGATATGAACATATATTTATACAATGAATGTCTAGGAAGGGTGATAATCTGTTTCTTTTCAACAAGTGATCGCTGTAAAACAGTTTTGCTATAAAACATTGATTTGAAAACTTCATAACCTTTGAGTGCGTTGCAGTGGTTCATATTTTGCCTTCAACTTGGCTACCACTTGGTACCAACTCTGTGCCAATATATATGCAAAGAATATATAACATAAAAACGAAAGTTTTAGAAATAGATATAGTATTAGATCTAGATGAATGAAAGAACCTGTGTTTCGCGAGCAAGGCTGTTGTCTTGAGGAGTAATGCAGCAACGCTGGTATCGCTCAAGCGTCTTGAATCTCTTGATCATACTGCAAAAATAGAAAGAACAAATAAAAGTTTTATTTAGAGAGGGGAAAAAACCAGAATCAAGCCAAAAATGGAAGTTCAAGGGGGTAAAGCTTGATTTTGTTAGCCCCTGCAGGCTTAAACCTCCACAATATGGTGAAATTTATAAATTACTATGTAAATCTTAGTTTGAGTTTTAGGTATACTCTGAACTAGAGGAACTATTCAGACCTAAACTTTTTTTACCAAAAAAAATCACATACAATGGGATAATAATTTTATAATATTCCATTATAAATTACAAGAGTATTACACAAGAGTAAATCAATCTCTCTCTATATATAATTATACAAATATAAGAATTCAAGAATTTTCGTATTCACCACATATTTAAATTTTTTTACTCTCATTTTATTTTTATACCAGACGATCAAATTGTAAATTTTTCTGTTCATGTCAAATAAAATTTAAAGCATAAACTCTAACATTTATATGTTGTACACTGCAGCAGGTCGTCTATATATATACTGGCAACATTATAAATCCAATACAAAAACAAGAGTCAGAATCACATAATATCATATATATATATATAAAAGAAAGCTCAAATGACCCATCCGTGGATGAAGTTGGTCTCACCAGCCATGCTTTTGGGTACCGAAGATCCTTCAGCCTGAACGTAGTGATTGTACCTGATGCAAGGGTAACTCGGAAAGCTTTCTAAAACAATGCATAACAAAAAAACAAAAGGACATATAATCTTCAACGTTGAATCATATCCAATTTCATGGTTTTCTAATCACTACTTCATATCTTGAGATTCGCTAGGAATAAAGAAGCATGTATGGTGAACTTATGCATTCATGTGTATATTTATAGATATGATAATGGTCACCCTATTTGCAAAACAGGTTCATGATCACAATGGGAAGGATGCAGGGTAAAGATGCTGTTTTCAGCTGCCCCCGAACTCCATAAACCTTGGATTGTTTTGGGGTTCTGTCCTTCTGCTTCGAGCTGAAACCCAAAATACACAGAGAACATTTGCTCTTATTCATAGAATCAAATACTAACACGAATGTTTGCTCATCAAGTTTTAACCTTGATTTTCAGCTGTTTATTAATGTTCCCAAGCTCACGCTCGTGCCAAACCATGAAAAAGCAGCTGTTAGCTAGGCATGACAAAGCTTTAGCAACCAAATTCTGCAATTACATTTGGGAATAATATATTACGATTGGAATAAGTACCTTTTTGCGGAGGTCTTCCATTTTTTCTATCATAATCTGTGACTGCAGTGAAGATCATCAAGAAATTTCTTCACATGTCAAATATGTATTAGTAGGACTTGTTGACAAAGACGTTCCAGTACCTTCCTTTGTCTAGCCAGTGCAAGAGCGCCTTCAAGCTGTTTCTCAAGGTTCTGCAGCTCTTTAACATTCAATGGTCCAAGATCTTCTCCTAGCAAATGCCTGATATGAACATATATATATATATACAATGAATGTCTAGGAAGGGTGATAATCTGTTTATTTTCGACAAGTGATCGCTGTAAACAGTTTTGCTATAAAACAGTGATTTGAAAACTGCATAACCTTTGAGTGCGTTGCAGTGCTTCATATTTTGCCTTCAACTTGGCTACCTCTTGGTACCAACTCTGTGCCAATAGCCCAATATATATGCAAAGAATATATAACATAAAAACGAAAGTTTTAGAATTAGATGTGGCATTAGATCTAGATGAATGAAAGAACCTGTGTTTCGCGTGCAAGGCTGTTGTCTTGAGGAGTAATGCAGCAACGCTGGTATCGCTCAAGCGTCTTGAATCTCTTGATCATACTGCAAAAATAGAAAGAACAAAGAAAAGTTTTATTTAGAGAGGGGAAAAAAACCAGAATCAAGCCAAAAATAGAAGTTCAAGGGGGTAAAAGCTTGATTTTGTTAGCCCCTACAAGCTTAAACCTCCACAATATGGAAAAAGAAGTCAGGAAAAGTACAGGTAGAGTTGAAACATTGGTTAAACAGATCAAAGGATTAAAATACACCAAGGCATAATGATAGTCATAGTATTAAATTGCGGATGCAAATATGCAATAGTTTTAAGGTCACTGTGATATTGCAATCACATCCACAACACAAAAACATAATTAATTTTAAGAAACAATTCAAGCGCAACGCAACTGAAACGCCATAATCGCATCGGTAACCGTGATCGTAATTTAATACCATGATGAAGACAAACAATCTTCCTGGTTTCTCCGCTGATCAGTCAATACTAGTTCATGCATCTTCTTCTTTTGGCTTTATTGGAGAGTGAAAGAAAAGCAAAACCATAGGTCTTGGGAAGGGCAGAAACTTAGTCTTTAGATTGATTCTGAGAAAAGTCATCATACTGGGTTTGTTTGTTTGTTTTTTCACTTCTTTAAGCTTTCAGGTTAAAAAAAAGGTCACCTTTCGTACTAGTACTCCAACACCACCGGTGAAAACATTTCACAAGCAGCTGAAGATCATCATAAGAAGCCATAAAAAAGTAGAGATTTTGTTTGATGTTTGCGAAGAAGAGTTGTTTTGCAGTTAAGTTAATTTAGAGAAAAAAACTTGAGAGAGATAAAAAAATCCGATTCTTTTACACGTAAATGGAAGTACAAGGATGACAATATGCAAAATCAACAACCAAATTGTAAATAAAAATGAAAAACACACACACAATATGCACACATATATGTACTAGTAGCGTACCCAGAACTACCAAACTCATAGAGCTTGCCACGACTGGAGAAGATGATTAGGGCAACTTCAGCATCACAAAGAACAGAAAGCTCATAAGCTTTCTTGAGCAAACCATTTCTTCTCTTAGAGAAGGTCACTTGTCTGTTGATCTTGTTTTCTATTCTCTTCAGCTCCACTCTTCCTCTCCCCATGTCTATCCTCTATTTTTTTCCCCTTTCAAAAACTCTATTTTCTTATAACAATGAGCAGTTTGTGCTATACAAAAATGGAGGTTGAAAAAAATAAAACTAAAGGGTTCTAAATAATTGCTTTGGTCTGAACGAAGTGAAGGTTTAGAAAGGCTACATAAATGTTAAAAAAAAATAGATATGTGCAGCAGGAAGCTTACTGGATCTTCTTTTTGCAATAAAATGGAAGCTCACTTTGTATTTCTCCTTTCTTATTTATTCTATTTTTCCGTTTTAGTTTGGGCAAAAATGCATCTGAGTTCTTTGTATTTTTGAAAACAATAACGTGATTCTCGATTAATTTTATACTTAATGTGATCTTCTAACTAAAAAAATAAATTTAATGTGATTATTTGACTAATATTTTTCGTTGTTGATCGTTACGGTGCTACATGATTGTTCACGATATTAATGTGACCGTCCACTGTGACTATCGACATAGTAGATAGACTAAATTAATTTTTGATAGTGTTCAAAGACAAAATTAATTTATTTAAAAATTCAGGGACTTATTTGATTTTTTTACAATTGAAACTATCTCAAATTTAAAACTTAAAATATAAAAACATTCAAATAGTAAAAAAAAGTAAATATAAAAAAATACAAAAAATAAAAATTAAATTATTAAAAAAAGTATATATATTAAAAATACTATTAATTTTGTTTTCTAAAAATAAATATAAATTATAAAATGATAAATTATACCTAATATATGCATGTATTAATATATAATCATATCATTAACACTTATTCAAAGTATTATGATTGGATTAGTCGATATTTATAAATTTTGTATCAAAATATAACTAGAAAATATAATTAGATTTGTGTATCAATGTGAGTAACTTAACGATGGTTTCTAATTGTATTTTGATACAAAATTTGTAAGTCTCGATTAATCTAATCAGAGTACTTTGTACAATGTTGATAATGACTATTTATTACATGTATATATTTTATATAATATATGTTTTTTTAAAATATTTTTATTTTTTAATAATTTATAATTTATAATTTTATAGTTATTATTTTTTAATAATTTATAACTTTTTAGTATTTTTGAGATATACATTTATTTTTTAATAATTTAATTTTTATTTTAATATTTTTGTATTTAATTTTTTGAATATTTATATACTTTTGTATTTTAAATTTAAGATAATTTTTATTTTTTAAAAAAATAAATAAGTCCTTAAACTTTAAAAAAAATCAATTTGACCATCGAACAAGACAAAAAAAACTAATTTAGCTCATCTTTCATGTCATTCGCCATGTCAGCAACCACCTTAAACTACCACTTCAGCATCATGAATTGTCATATCAGCACCGTAACGGTCAACGATAGAAAATGTTGATCAAAGGGTCAAATTGGGTGAAAAAATAATTCGATGGACACATTAGTTTTTTTCAAAAGTATAGGGGCCTTATATGTCTTTTTCCTTTAGTTTTTAGCAATTTTGTATTGGCATAATGTTAAAAAGGTCCTTATCGTTTGATTAAATAATTACCTTAATCCTATTTTTTAGAAGCATTTTGATCTTTTTAACATTTTATTTTTAGACAAAAAAATTCCTCTGTTAATGGAAATGGTAAGTTAATAAAGAGTTCTTTTTATTAAGTTAATAAGTAGTTAACGTTCTAAAATAGGGGTTTTTTTTTATTATCCTAATAGTGGTAACTACCTTCTTTGATGCATCGTGTGTTTTAGTATTATAAAGAATTTTATAATAAATGTGCTTTTTACTTACCTCGCAGCAACTTAGGGATGAGAGGCGGGCTGCTGAATTAGCACAAGAAGATGAGAAAGCTATTGTTAAACTTGAAAATGCTTCCATTCAACAATCCAAAGCTGTGGACTCTGCAGTTCTGGGAAATATACAATATATGGAGGCGAGAGAATGAGAATTATAGTTTTGAATGTAAGTTGGAAGGCTCATTCCTGAGAATGTTTTATTTAAAGGACCAAGGCTTTAATTTACCCAAATCTAAAAGATGATGAATCCTCTCCTTAGGTGTCATTTGATGTCATTTTTTTAGACCATTTATTTTTAGCTAATAAAATTTTAAAATTAGTGCTTTAGGAGAGGAGTTCATGTCAAAAGGCTTGGAGAGAGAAAAAATAATTTGTCATCTTCTACCTTTTATCCTTTCACCATTCTTGAAACTTCTCCAAGCATCCATAGCCTTCCAAGTCTTATTTCTTATAATCTAACCATTAGAATTGGCAAGCCCTCTTTCCTACCTTTTATTTGATACCAATTTTGTTTAATTTGGAGCTTACATTTTTTAGAGGTTCAAACCCAAATTGAAAAATTTATTGTAGTTTAGTAATTCAACCTTGAAGTATAATTGCTTTTAAGTTTTTAGAGTTTTTTTTTTAAATTTAAGGCTTGGAAACATCAAAGCTTAACCCCTTCAATTTAGGGTTTCATACCATTTTAACGGAATGATGTTGTTTATGTGTCCTTGAGGTTAAATTGATGAATTATGTGTTTATTTTTCATGTATACAAGAACTGATTTGAAGAAATCGTCCAACAAAAAAAAAATCAAAAGCCTCAAGTAGTGGAATTGTGATTCAAGACATTCCGTGAATTCGAGTAAATCGATGAGCGTAGTTCATGTGTATGGGTGATTCGAAGTCACTCTAATTGAGTTTCGTTAATTTATTATGCAAATACATTTATAAAATCAGATCACATAGAGCTTGAACGGCAAAGGTTATGGTAAGTTCATATGTTCAATTTCATGTTTTGGTGATACCATTTAATGATATGACAAATGATTTAACCTAAGTGTTAAACATGCACGAATCAATCTTTGTATTAAGCTAAAGTGAAGTTATAAGCTCATCCATGATTTGGTAAGCCAAGGTATGATCTAATATGTAAAAGATATGATAAATATTGCTCTTGGATGATAAGTTTAGTTTGGGTACAATTGACATGTCATAGAGTCAATCTGAGCTCATGTTAGGGTTGGATTATGATCTTTATATACGGTAGGAAGGATGTTGTGGTTTTTGGTCATTGGTGACAGTTTGGATGGACAAACCAATCTCTGTTATTTGACAACAATTTAGTTGGGAATTCGCGTATCCATAGCTACTTAGATTCCAATTAACTAAATTATGATTTTCATTAAGTTACAATTCTTTGTTATAATTGAATATGATATGAATATGTTAATACATGACTTTACCATTCAATTAAGTTGATACAAGTACTCTGATATGTCGATTTTAAAATTATGGTTACTATCTCACTAAGCTAAATAAGCTTACACATCTTTGATTTAACATTTCAGGAAATCAATCTCGCTAGTTCGTGATCGTATCTAGGGGTTGCAAATCACTCCACGCTAAACTAATGTAAATGATATTTTTGATTAATCTCCTAGATGGTGACATATGCATTTTGATGTGTAGATGACTTGTAAATATATTCATATCTCATCCTAGCATAAGTATGCTTGTTTTTCAGTAGTATATATGCATATTATGGTTTAGCATGTTAAGTGGAAAATAGCTCTACATGATTATGATCAAGATATGTTTGATGTGTTAATTGGTTTAGATAAGCTTTTATGATAGATAAGATAATGCTATTGGTGGTTATAAAATGATCATGTTTTATGATGATTGGTATGTAAAATATAAGGTAGTTGGCACAATCTTATTGGCATGAAATTATTATTATGATGAAGCATGTGTTTGATTGTATGTTGGTCGATAAATGTAAGTTTAATTAAATTTTGATTTAACTGGTGTAAGTCTAATGGAAAACCCGAAAATCAGTTAGGAAACATTTTTTTAGTTTTGCAACTTGATTTTTTTATATAGAAATCAGATTTTAGGCTTGATTTTTCACATAGAAATCGGGTTTTTAGGTTGCAACATGATTTTTCATATAGAAACGGGATTTTTGGTTTCAATATGATTTTTCATATGGAAACCAGATTTAGAATGGAAATCTTATTTTTGTATAAAAATCAGAATTCTGGTTGAAACATATTTTTTTAGATAATTTTCGAGTAAATCTAGTGTTTTAGTATTTGATATTATGTGCTATGCAAATAGTAAATTGCAAATTTCAAGTTATTCTTGTATTAGTTATTTACATTTAGACCCTTAAATTTTGAAAGTTTCAATGTGGTCCTTAAGTAAGATAACACTTTCGAAATTATTAAAAATAGTGATAATCAACATGTGTGAAAATGAAGAGAATTTTATTTCTAGTTTATACTCGATAAATGATCATATGGTTCCAAATTGTGTGGTTGGGTCCTTTTAAATTATTTTAGATAAATTTAATATGGTTCGTGTTGTAAAGTTAAGTTTAAATTCAAGCTATGGTGAGATATTGATTGACTAACAAATGATAAATTCGATGAAATGATTTGATTTGTGATGCTAGATTTTGTTTCGATGATAGAAATTTGATATTACCTATGTTTTGTGAATATTTCATGTCGGTTTAAATTTTCGTTAACATCTCCGACCCGGTTTCCGTCTAGACTGATCAGAGGATGTTACACTATCTCCTCCCCCAGAGAAGAGAAAGTTCCCTAGAAGTGAGAATTTGGAAAATCTAAATCTCCGCCATTATGCTCTCTTCTCTGATAATGTCTTGGATGCATCAGTTGTGGTCAATTCAACTATCATGAACGCCAAGGTGATATAAGCTGTCTTATTTTGCATAACTACTTGGACTACTTTTCCTTTTGAAACTTCTAATCACTTGACCTTTTTTTTTTTTGCTTAAGAATTGAGCCTCATGTGCTTTCTGACTATGTTTCTTCTTGGTGATATGGCAGGAACCATCAAAACATGTTTTCCATCTCGTTATCAATAAACTTTACTTTGGAGCGATGAACATGTGGTTTCTGTTGAATCCCCCCGGAAAAGCCACTATTCATGTTGAAAATGTTGATGAATTCAAGTGGCTTAATTCATCCTATTGCCCTGTCCTGCGTCAGCTTGAAACTGCTGCAATGAAGGAGTATTATTTCAAGGCGGATCATCCAACCATATCTGGATCTTCAAACTTGAAGTATCGAAACCCAAAGTATCTCTCAATGCTTAATCACTTGATGTTGTTGACTTGTTGTCCAGAAAGACTCGACTGGATTATGGTCCGTGGATCTCCATGGAAAAGTGAATGGTGCTGCAGAAACTTGTGGTCAAAGCTTTCATCGTTTTGACAAGTATCTAAACTTCTCCAATCGTCATATTTCACAAAACTTTGATCCTAACGCTTGTGGTGGGCATATGGAATGAATATATTTGATCTCAAGGACTGGAAAAAGAAGGATATCACTGGCATATACCACAAGTGGCAAATTATTGGGAGTCTATGAACAACCATATAATATCTGATTTCACACATACACCCCTTCATGCATTCATACAGCGATGGTTTTCTGGTTGAAGGTTCAAATCAACCATTTGCCGATCATCATATATAATTGTACTGGACATGTAGCTTTAGTCATATATGCAAAGTGATTGTATTATAGTCAATTATTACTATTATGGCTTAGATGTTGAATTGTGCTTGAGATCAACAAGGTAAACTTGCTCAGATTCCCGACCGGTAACATTTAGAGGACCTAGGATGTTTGATGTATTTTTTTTCCTTGCCTTTGTTTAAATGTTTACCAGAATGAAGATAGAGCATTGTGGAAGCTTGAGACGCTTCCTCCGGGGTTGATCACATTTTATGGTCTAACACGTCCGCTTGAGAAGTCGTGGCACGTACTTGGTCTGGGCTACAACCCAAGTATAAACAAGAGAGAAATCGAACAAGCAGCAGTCATTCACTACAATGGTAACATGAAACCATGGGTGGAGTTGGCTATGACGAAATATCGACCGTACGGGACCCAGTTCGTCAAGTACGATTATCCCTACCTTAGCAACTGTAACTTTAGTGAATGAAGGTGATTAGGTGTGGCATTGTGTTGTTTCTACTATTCTTCTCTATACTCCAATTTGTTTATTCTTCCTTGTATTCCGTTAAATTTATTCCTTTAGTGCTCACCCCATTGGAACGAGTTAAGAACTGTACGCAATGTCAACCTTTGAAGACACCCTAAGATTTGAATCTCATACGAACCAGAGTCCATTTTATTTTTTGAACAATGGCTCCCTGTATTTAATATTGTATTAGTGTTTCTATCCGTATAAAGACTCGAATCTCTTTCTCTGTTTTTGACCGTTTTATGGATCACATTTAGGGTTTGTTTCTCAACAACGTTGTATTCGGAAGTTTGAACATAAATTCTTTTTGAAAGTACGAAGTATATTACTACTAGTGTATTATTTTAAAACTCATGTCACTCGTGTCATTGTTTGTGTAACCAAATGAGACATGATTGCCGAGAATTTGAGGTTAATAACCATATTGAAGTTTTTTTATTAATTAAAAATACTTACTAAGTGATTAATACGTGTAAGATCATTTCCATTTACTAGCCTATACGATACCCTGGATTTTGGGTTAGCAGTTAGTTTAGGTTTAGTTTGTATAGCTGAAACTAAATCTACAGTACTTTGCTAGATGTGGAGGATCCAGCGGAAACAGGCTGTTGCCCCATGCCTTAGACCCACAATGAGATCCAACATATAAATGCTTTTCTCCTACTAAATTGACTTAATTAGTTGCCTTCTTTATCCCCTCATTAACGTTGAAGATATTTTCTTTCCCACCTGGAGAATGTTTCAGGGGTTTAATAGAGCCTGTAACATCACCATTGTTGACAACGAGAGCTCCTGGGATGGGAGTTAGAGAATGTCATTGTTGATCTGAAGGCCACCCACCTGAACCCCGTGAAGGATGGTCAGTGCAGTAGGGACTGTGTGAGAATCGGCTCCTAGAGTCAACTCAGGGTTGTGAGCCAAACATCGGGTTTCATCTTTATGTGATCTTCGGACAGTATTTTCATTGGAATGCTTCTCATTGCATGGGCATAACAACTTCAATTTTGATACTAAAACTATACCTCTTTTTCTAAATAAAGTAAGTATTTTTTTTTTGAAAATGTTACTATTTTAGGTGTTTGAGCCGTCAACGACGTTAATTTATTCTGTTAAGTGACACGTGTCACAACTGATATTTTGAATTTTAAAAAAACTAAAATATTATTATATTTATAAAAAAAACTAATTTTTCTTAAATTATAAAACAACCCCAAAATCTCTAAAACTCTCGAATCCTAACCTTAACCTACTGGCGTCGCCCTTTTCAGCCACGACCATCGCTTCCGATATAGTCTTTGTCATCCTCCTAGTCATATGTCGTCGTAGTTGACGCTGATTAGCCATCGAAATCGTGTGGGATCGTGATTTTCATCTTAGGGTTCGAGGGGTATAAAATGTCGATTTGCCATTGATCGATCACGATTTAATAGAGATTTTGGTCTTATGGGGGAGTTGAGGTTGGAGGAGCTTCTTTGATGGCAAAGGGCGGCGACATACGTGAATTTAAGAGTGAAAATGAATATTTTCAAAGTTTTGGGGTTATTTTTAAATGTTTATGCTTTATAAATATATATATATATATATAATTCCCACACTGTTCCTCCAAAAAAAAAACCTTCGCCCCCAACGCTCTTCTTCTAATTTCCAAATAACACTCTTCTTCAATTTTCCGAATTAATCAATGATGATAGACGATTATTAAGCCTTATTTCCAGATTAAGGGCTGTTAGTTTTAGGGATAAGGGCATTTAAGTTTAGGAATTTAGAAACTTTTAGGTTTGAAATAATAGCAATGATAATGACCAATTATTGGGTGGCCGACAATGAACAGATGGGTGATCGGAGATAACCAACAATAGGGGAAAGGGGATTAGAATAAGAGATTTTATGAATTGTGAGATATTTTTGTAAAATATAAAAGCTTGAGGGTTTTAAATATAATAATAATATTTTAAACTATCTTTTAAAAAATTTAAAAAAAAATTATCAAAAAGTAACACATGTCACTTAACAGTGGAGATTAACGGCCGTTACATTCTAGGCACCTAAAGTGATAACATTTGTAACATTAGACACCAAGATGAGTAAAAAAATACTTTAATCACCTATTATGAAAAAGATGTATAGTTTAGACACTTATTTTAATATTAATCCTATTAAAATTTATTCAAATCTAATAATCAAAAGTTCAAAAATAGATAGAATGATATTATTTTGAGATATGAAGACTGAACTTTCGAACTAAAGAATGTGCATATGATTGATTTGTGTGCTCGTAAAAGTTATTAAGCGAGTGAGAGACTAAATATATATTTGAATTCGATAAACAAATAAGTAAAGGAAATGTATCAATAAAAAGAAGTTTATGCTCATGCTTTGGATGACCAATGTGATCATATGCCAAGGGTTATGTTTCAATTGATGAATGTTCTTATATGCCGATGTATATAATACGTTATAGTATTTGTTTGCTTTGTTTCTAATCTGATTACTTCGTTAAGTTTGTGAAAGACCATTCTCTGTGTATTCTGACTGTTTTTACAGGTTATGAATAAAATTATTTAGATCAAGATAGCAATTACTCACGTTAATTATAACTTTGTAATCACCTTAGCTTAATATGTTGTTAAAATTATGATTTCCAAATATGTTAAGACTATATTGATGATAGAAAATTGATACTATAAGTCGTTTATTTATTTTTAAATTTTAATTTTTATTAATGATTTACTTTTTTATGATTTAAAATTTTAATTTTCTTTGATTAATGGATTATTTGATTTAATGTACCTGTTTGAAATTTTATTTATAAAATTTTATTTATATTCATTCAATTTAAAAAAAATTATGCGGTTAATATGTATGTATATATATATAAGGTTTAGAAAATACGAATTGATATGAGTACTATATAAATGAAATCATAGGTAAACAAATGGAGAAGGCATGATATAGGTTTAGATTATATTGCCATTATGGCAGCCTCACAAGGTTGATTTGGCAGCAGCCACATTAACACAAAGACAGGTAGTGTTGACAAATTCCTTGATGTTCTGAAGCAGAGCTTTCGCCTTCAACGGATCAAAAATCTCAATCCCATGACAACCTCCTTCGGCGAACTCCGCCACCACATCCACCCTACGCGCCTCCAGCATTTCCACCAACTCCCTCTGCTTGTCGAACAGTGGATCGCCGCCGTGGCCAGACACCAAGCACCGTGGCAGCCGTCCAATCTTCTCCATAAGCGACTCATCAGCGGCCATCGGATTGCAGAACTCATGATCGCGGTCGGCTCCGTCCGGCAAAGCCAAGGACCACATGAGATCACTAGCCGGTAGAGGCAAGATCCGGTCATTGAAGAGTCTTTTCTCCGATTCAGTCCTTTCCACACCACTGAAGTACGGCTGATTCATTATCAGCCCTATGATTTTCACCGGCGAGATATCGACGTCCAATGCACGTAAAGCCGCATGGAAAACCATGTTGCCACCCGCACTGGAACCGAACAAAAAACACTTGGAAAAATCCACGTACTCTTTTAGCCACGGATCACAACCGCCGATATCCGCCGCTTGGTCCCGGACCCACGTGATCGTTTCCATCGCATCGTCGTACGCCGCCGGAAGGCGGTGTTCCGGCGCAAGACGATATTCAAGTGAGATGAGTACGGCTGGGATCATAGCCGCCTTCACACAGCATGCATCGTGAAAAGGAAGAGAAGTAGCACTGAAGAGGATAAACCCCCCTCCATGGAAGTGTATCAGGAGAGGTAGCTTATTATCGGTGTTCGGCGGCGGAGTTGGAGGCCTGTGTAGACGAATAAAGGTTCCGTTCTCGGAGTTTAGAGGGACATCTTTAAAGAGAGCGAGTTGAGACATGTTGGACTGGGTGCCGGTTTCTTCTGTTGCAGGAACCGAAGGGAAACGAGTTTGCCGAGTGAGTGAGCCGTCCGGGTTTTGGACGATTCCGAGTAACTTGTAGGGATCCGTGGATGGTGTTGCAAAGGAGGATTGATCTTCCATGATTTCGAGATTTGCGATAAGAGAGAAAATGGTCTATGGTGGAGATTGTAGCAAAATCAACTAGTGCTTATTATAGCAAGAATTATTAATTGATTTTTTTTTTCTTTTTTAAGAAATGGCCACGTGATATAATACGAACAGAAAATGTAATATTTATTTGATGTAATAAATAGATGCTGTTGTTTTAGGTAAAATAATAAAGAATGAGCAACTAGTACCTGTTTAGTTGGCATTTATTACGTTTGGGTCAGAGCATTATGAATGTTGCATGTAACTCGTGATTATCTCTGCCAACGTCAGTGATAAAGTATGTGTTGGTTGCTGTCATTTGATTCCTTTCCATTTTATACTTTGGGTAAATTATATGGTTACTCACTCAATTTTATTATTTATTTTATTTAGTTTACCTTACTTTTAAATTTTTTTAATTTATTCACTATACTTTATATATTGAATTTTTTCTTATCATTATATCGTTAATTATCCAACAGTATCGTTAACTATCTAACGATATTATGATATAGATTAGATAAAAGTTTTTTAAATTGTGAAAAAAAATTGTAAATTACAGGTGTATTAAATAAATAATTAATTTCTTAAACATCATAATTAAGTCCCCTGATCCCAAATTACAACCCCCATCCCACTCCCACCGTCAACAGCTTTTTCACTTTAGCCATTGTAAATGACAACCATGAACGAAATCGAAGATGGGTTGTTGTCACAGGAACCATAGATTGTTAGGAGCTTACCACAATGAAGACAAATCAACAAAAAAAATCCAAAACCAGTCAATTAAAAAGAGCAAATTCTAAAGTCTCAAACACAAGCAAGGCAGCGCCACCACACCGACCATAACAATCGAACCCTTCATCAACATGCACAAAGACAACTCAAGTGAGGCACGATACAGCATACACAGAGGGCTGGAGTAGTACCGGTGGCCGAAAGGTGGACGAAATGAATTGGTGAGTCGGAATGGGTGAGATAAGGTCAGCATTTAAGTTTTTGCAGTTGGATTTCAATGGCGGTCATGAATCGAGGAATGCATGTCGACTTACATTGCTAGCTTGAGAGAGAAATTCTAGGGGCGATGGCTTTGCGAGCTTTGCTCGGAGGCCGGCAATAACAGACAATAAGATCAGTGGAGGATATCACGAAATTTCGAGGGCCGATGGATCAGCACAAAATTTTGAGGGCTTTGCAGTTGAAATCGTCGAGTTCGTCGGCAAATTTCGCTAAGGAATTGATCTCCGCGGTGACACATTTACTTGGAAGGACCCTTGAATCGCCGAATATAGAGAATGATTCATCGTTGGAGTGGGAGGGTGAGGGTGAGTAGTAATTTGGGATTAGGGTTTATTAGTAAAATTTAAGAATTATATTAATTTTATTTTATTTTAAAAATTAATAAAAAAATATATATTATCACTATATACTAATAAAATAAGCCACATCATCATCCAGCTGTTAAAATGAAAACGGTTGAGTGAAAAAAAAAATTAATGTATAAAGTTCAATGAGCAAATTGAAAAAATTGAAAGTATGATGAGCCAAATTAGAGAAAAAGTAAAATTTGGTCAGTAAGAGTGTAATTTACTCTTAATTTGAATATCCACTTATATTAAAGTTATTCAGAATTTTAATTTGGGAAAATCTTGTTTTTTGCCACTCAACTTTGTTTTTATTTTATTTGGATTACTCTAGAACAGATTAATTTTATCATCTAAATTCCAAAATTTATTATTTTATCACTGCATAATTAGGTATTTAATGTTTTCCAATTTTAGGGTATTTTTTCTTTTAAATTTTGACATTAGAATATTTCTTCTAAATCTGAATTATAACATGATTTTAAGACGATCGGTCGGTAAAATTATATATCATATTAAAATAAAGTTAAATTTTTGACTTAATTTATCTATTTCGAGAGAAAACAATGATAAGCAAAAAGAGAAGGGTTAAAAAAATATTTAGCACTAATTAATTGTAAATGATAGTCGACTATAGTAATAGTTTTATTTTTATAAAAACGGTTCAAAACACAAAGTTTTGTTATTATTGATATACAACTAATAATTAGGTAATAAAAAGTAAAATTTCGTATAGTTGAAGTTCACAGTTTCAGTGGCAAGATATGGATACTATAAAAAGACATCTTAAAGAATTTTATAGAGTCGAAGCTCACGATTTCAGTGACACATATAGATCCTGTAGAATGATATGGTAAACATTAAAATCCTAAGCATCTCCAATCAATTCAATCATGGTGGTTTCAAAGAAGATGGACAACCAATTAGTTTTTCTTCGCTGCTATATGATGTAATAAGCTGAACAAGCTCTAATTTCACACAAAAAAATAAAAATAAAAAATTAATTGGGTGATAAAATTAAGAAAAGTAAAAAATTAGATGACAAAAACAGAAACAAAGGCAAAGATGAGTGACCAATACATAATTTAGTCTTTCAACAAAAAAAATTTTGAATAGTAAGGAGGCAACGCCATTACACTAGGTGGGACAGACCCTTACATAGGGAGGACCTTGAATATCTCGCAAAAGGAGGTCTGAGAGAGAGGAGGGGGCGTTGTATTAAGGATTCTTAGAGAGCCAATGATGCTGATATGCTGTTTGGCGAGGAAGTTAGCTGCAAAATTTGCTTCACGTTTAATCAGGACGAGGTCGATCATACAGGGCTTCGAGCAGAGGCGATCATACAAAAATGGTTAAGAAGGTTAAAAGTATTAGAGTTACAGTTACGCCAGCGGCGAGGAGAGGGAGAAGCAAGTGGAAGTCTTTATGAAGGTTACGACGGTGCAGTGGTGGCGTCTCTGCCGCCATTTTTGGAGGCGAGAACCATGATGGCATGATTGTAAATAAAGAGTAACCAAAGCTAAGTTAGGCTTGCATTTTACCTTTCTTTTTCTTCTCCGTTTAGACTTTAGAAGAATAATTTTTCTGCCACTGACTGAGTACTAGAAAAATGTTTTGTTTCCAAGTTTTTTTCCTTAATTTCAAAATAAAATTGGGAATGATGGGTGACAGAGAGTGTTATGCGTGTGAAGGTTGACGTGACCGAATATTATTGGAGGGTCACGAATTTAAGTGTGACCGTTGAGTGAGTGGGGTTTAAATGTCAATTTAAGCGATAACTGATCAGATGCGGATGGGGGGTGATAGATTATTATTAGGGTAAATGACAGCCGTGACCCCTTAATTATAAAATAATATCACCTTATTAACATTTGATAAATAATGTTATGCTGCAATACATAAATGATATAGTTATATACTCGACTTTTATTACTTACATATTTTATCAGATTTATTTTATTTTATTTTAATTAAATAAATTTATAAATATTATTGTTTAATTGAAGTACTGAATTAAAAGTAAACTAATAAAATATATAAATAGAAAAAATAACATATAATTATATTAAAAAAATTTATTGCCACATTATTTTTATTAAATGCTAATTATTAGCATGTTGATTGACATTATTTAAATAATTAAATAATTTTAAATTAATATAATTAAAAAAATAATATTTAAATTACAATTTCTTATAATTAATTGGTCATAAACTAATTCATCATTACCCAAAAACCACTCTAACATTTAAATATTATCTGTCAGACACCCTTTCTCCAAATATTATCGATCTAGCATCCTTTCTGACAAAACGTTGATAATGAGGCGTGCCTTAGCAAGTTTTGTTAGAGTTGACACCACGGTGAAAAAGTGTGGATCATAATCTGCGTTTTCATGGGGTTCTATCCGAGTTGACACAACGATGGTAAAGTGAGGATCGTGAAACACACCTCTGCTACGAATTAGACAAGTGGAGAAAAACCGGATCATAATATGCGCCTTGTATTTAAATCTCAACCGTCCCGCCTTAAGTACCGCCTAACCCCCAGTCATACACCTCCAAGGTCCTTATTCTATAGAGGTGTTACATCGTCATTTGTCATTTGTCATTTATCAAGAAAATGTAGATACTACTGATATTGTTGATGATGATGATGAGAATGAGGAGGAATAACAACTTATACGAAGAAATCCTCATCGAAATAGACAACTACCTTCCTGTGGAACATATTCAAGACGCAAACATCGATAGACTTGTTTTTATTTTATTTTGTTTCTTAATGTTTTTATTTAATTATGGACTTTTTATTTATTTTGTTTCTTAATTTTTTTATTTAACTATAAATTTTTTATTTATTTTGTTTCTTAATGTTTTTATTTAATCATAGATTTTTTATTTATTTTGTTTCTTAATGTTTTTATTATTTAATTATGGACTTTTTTATTTATTTTGTTTCTTAATATTTTTATTGTTTGAATTGTAACGTTTGTATCTAATGTTTATATTTAATTATTTTATTGTTTTTATTATTTAGTTTGTAATGTTTTTATTTAATTTTCACTTAAGTAGCACATTAATTAAAAGTAAACAAAAAATGAAATAACACAAACTGAGGCTTCATAAACAACAATTACATCGTAACAACATCAACGGTTACGTGATGATAAAAGAGATGGACATTTTTTCATATTATGGCCTAGGTTTCTACAATGCCCACGTCTTTTGTTTTCTTTGGACGTCTCTCGAATATCCATATCATAATAAATTCGAGTGGATTTTGGACGACATGTCTCCCTTAATAAGGACGGATCTAGTATAATCAGAAGCCAATTCTGAACCTCACATGGGTATTTCTCATCACTTATGAGGGGAACTCAAATTTATATACCTTAAATACTTCTGAAAATCAATATACGAGATCCACACAAAAATTATAGTCTAGATGGGTATAAGAGCAAGTTGGTATGACATGGAAGCATAGATACTTCAGAGCTTGAAAAAACCCACAGTCACACCACCTGCCTTGTAGATTAACTTTAGCTTCATTCATTTGAAAAGGCCGTGGCATTTATGTGACACAAAATAATTCATTGGTTCAAGAGAAACTTGTTACAAACATTTCATTTGATACAATAGTTATTTTTTTGTAAAT